TACCATCACAGGGATATGGATGGGGGAAGGTGTTACTGGAGATGTCCCCCCTGAGATACTTGGTGGGGCAGAGCTCAAACTGAATGTGTTTACACATTTATTACTTAATGCTCAGATAACAACTTGAAGCAAATCTGCTTAATTTTTGCGCCTCTTCCCCCTCTTCCCTCTGCCCTGGTGGGTTTCCAGCACTTCCCCAGGTGGGGCAGGGATGGTCCAACCTCGGGGGTTGAGCTCCACCACCTCTGATTTCCGTGGTTGGGTCGCGTGTTCCAGCTTTGAGGAGAGACCCACAAAGTGTTTAACGTTTATTTCTGTAATCAGCAGCTAAATTCTGCCTCTGCTGATGATGGTTGTTTAAGAAAGGTGGTTTAAGAACCTGCTCCCCTTCGGCAGCAGACAGAGGAGCTTCTCAAAGGACTCCAAAAATCAGGGGGAAAACGGTGTGTTCTGCAAAACTATCACATATTTCTCTCAGAGATTTTGGGATTGAGCTCTGGGGGGGGGGGAAGAAAACTGATTGCGCCGAATTCTTGAATATCTCGGATTTCAGATGCAGAAAAGGGTTGATTTTAAAGAGATACCCAGTTCTTTTCCCCGCTGTCTTTTTGAATAAGCCTAACTGATGATTTTCATTAGCGGGGGCTGTAATTTATGTGGTCCCGGTGGGTTGTGCCAAGGTTAAATAATTTAAAGAAATAAACCCCCTTATCTGATGTAACAGAGCTAATGAAGGATCCGAGATCCAGATGAAATAAGAGCTCGGGAGCCGAACGGCAGCGGCGTGTCGGGGACACAAATCTCGGCATAAATATCCAAATGCGAGCAAAGATGCCGGGAATTTTTAAAGATGTGCCATAAAACGAGATGAACGCGGGGCCGCGGCCCCCTCCCCCCGGAATCACGGGGGGGGGAATATCCTGGGATCGCCGGCGACGTGGCCATAAATAAAAAATCAATTCTTAATGATGAGGCAGCCCTTGTTTTAGCGCATTACCCGGGTTAAATGGGAGCAGGCAGGAACAGCGAGCCCTCCTAAGGCTGGGGGGGAGATCATTGTGTATTAATATGATTTACAGAGCTGCAGAGCTCAATGGAATAATTGTTATTATATCTATACAGCCAGATGGCACTTGGTGTAAACAGCCATCGAGCACCTCCGACACGAGCGCTGTCACCGGATCTTTCAGGTGTTGTTCCTTCCATCCCCTCACTCATCTCATCGCTGCAATCTGCCTTTCCTTTGCAAAAAAAACCCAAAAACCAAACACTTCAACACCTCCCCCCCCGCCCCGAGCAACTTGCTCCCTCTTCTTCTTCTTCTTCTTATTTTTTTTTTTTTTAAATTTAATCGAAACGATTTTTAATTAAGGGAAAAAAAAAAACACCCCCCCCCAAAAAAAAACCCCCAAAATAAATCTCTGCCGCAGCAAACGCTTCCCTAGGAAAACTTGCCGAGCGTGAATTTTGCCTCGGTGGATAAAGACAGAGGACTCGCTGCCGCTGCCTGGTTTTGTTTTACACGTTTACGATGACAGATGTTTTAAAAAGTCCTTTCAGCTGAAGAGCTTGGGAATTTATTTCTTTTTTTTTCCTCTCCCCCCTTCCCCCCTTTCCTTTCTTCCTTTACGGAAAAAAAAAAAAAAAATACGAGGGATGAGCGGTCAAAAACTTGGAGCGGCTTAAAAACTGGAACGCTTGGAAATCGAGGCATAAAATGGTCAATAAATCCAGCGAGGCTGAATTTAAGCCAGGTTAGATTTGGCATCGGATGGCTTTTATTTTAATGTTTTTTAATATTGCTGGGTGGTTTTTTTTTTTTCTGGGCTTTTAAACCACTCAGGGCTTTACGGGCGGGGATAGCGAAGGAGTTATTTTATTCCTCTTCGTCCTTCCTGGCTTTTTTTTTCCCGTCTCCCCAAAATGTTCCGCTGTGGCGTTCGGAAACACCGGCTCAAATCCGCTTTTAGCCATCCTGGGTGGCTGAAATATTGCCCATCCATTACCCCCCCCGAGTGTTTCGGACCTTACACACAGTCTACTATGGGAGTAATTCATTGGAATCCGATTGCTGAGCAGTTCTGCTCGGAGTTGATCCGAGCACATGACTCCTCGTGCAGCTGGAACACTTCTGTTTATCCCAACTGGCCTTGGGACACCTGTGGCAGGGAGCGGGGTCTGCCATGTGGGAAGGACATGTGTGCTCCATACACTGTTTTATTTTCACGGAAGGGGGGGGTTTGTAAGGAAGGAGCCACTTCCCTGCCAGTTTATCAGGGCTCCGTGTCGGATCCCGACCGTCACCGCGAACTCTGCCCGGACCAAACCTCCCCATCTCTTTGTTCGCCTCCCTTTTTTTTTTGTGTGTGTGTGTGTGTGTGTTTTTGGCCTGGATTTTGTAGATATTCCGTGGAACGGGCTCGGAGAGAGGGGTTGTGTGGAGAGAGAGAATGGCAGGAAGGGGCTGGGAGCTGGAGGCCGGTGTTGGGTGGCGTTGGGAGAGCGCCGGCGCGGGGGTGACCCTGGTCAGCGGCGCAGGGCCATTGTTCCCGTGATGGAAGGGACTGTCAGCCCTGAAATATGGGCAGCGGGGCTGTGCCTTTCCTGTCGGAGGCAAACAGGAAAAAAAACAACCCCCAGCCCGCCAGAAAAGTGAAGCCCCCTTTTTTTAACGCTATTTACGTCTTCGCCGACTTTTAGATCGGCTTTTTGCCTCCCCCTCCCACCCCCGTGTGTCTGAGGAGCTTTTATTGAGTTCCCACCTCGCGGCTGAAGGGGAGAAGAAAAACCTCGTGGCTCAGGAAGGGACCTTGTTCTTTTTCCTTTAGATAAGGGGGTGGTTCTGCGGGGTCTCTCGGAGCCGGCTGTGTGTGTGTGCTCTGCAATGAACTCTCCAAACTAACCCGTCCCCTCCTCCCAGGATTTCTCTTCATTAGAGGAACAGACCCTCAGCTGTTGTAAATTGTCATAACTTCATTAGGGGCTTTGGGCAATTTACACCAGCTGAAGAGCTGCCTGGGAGAGTTTTGCCCGGAGGGAGAAGGCGCAATTCTGTGCCTGGCACTTTGACCCTGGCATTACAAATGTCCTGGGTGCCTGTGATGTGTTACCCTGGGTGTCTCATCTGTTACTGAACTCCAGCAGCAGGACGTGACGGAAGGCTTCCCGTCTTCCTTTTGAATTTCCAAGTGTTTTCCCTTTTGTTTCGTTATCACTGGAGGACGTTTTTGTCCCTTAGCCTCGTGTTTAAAGGAGAGGGACCGTGCAGCAAAGTGATTTTTAGGCTGATGCTTAGAGGAGGACAACAGGACTGTGATTCCCACTGCCTTGGGGTGGGAGTAAACTGAGGCACGGCTCAACCAGCCCCGAGCCAGGCCAAGGCAAAATCAAACTGCTCCTTGATTTAGTTGCTCTTCACGTTCTAATATTTCATCCTGGGTAACTTCACCCTCCTTAAAAGGTTTGTCTGGGCTGTTTTTCTGCCTTGCACGTTGTGTTTGTTAAGGCACTGCCCGATCCTCTGTCCTGCTCATCGGAGCAACCCTGACTTCTGTGCCCTCAATCACAGCAAAAATATTTAAGCATCTGCTTAAAACAGCCTTCACTTAAGTCAGCAGGGCTTAACCATGTGTGTAAGTACTTTTTGAGTGGGGATTGTCTTCTTGAAAGAGTCGGAGCTTCCATCTATTAAAGGCTCTCGTGCTCCTCCCGCGCCGTCGGAGGAACTGGTACCAGGGCACTTCCAGAGGAAGTAAACAAGTTGTACCAACAGAAACCAGAGCAGCCCTGGTCTAACCACGCTCGCTTTAGAACCGTGTGCTAATATAATTATTGTAATCCAGCTCAGATAAATCACAGCAGGGGTTACAACGTNAAAAAAAAAAAACCTTTTTTGGGCTGGCTGACCTGGCCGAATCCATTCTGTCGCTATCCTAAAGGCTAGATGCGAGGTCATGTGACTGCTGCTTCCCAGCTGAAAGGCTTAAGCCCTGCCAGGGAGTGCCCAACAAGATTTCCACAGGAAAAAAAAAAAAAAAAAAAAAAAAAAAAAAAAGCCCTTTCTGGAGCAAAGTTTTTTCCGGGCTGGGGTTCAGTGAGGGATTCAATGTGTGTGAAAAGCCTGGGTGTGTTAGAAACGCTGCAGAGGTGCTCTGTACTGAGGGGAAAAACCAGCAGCACAAGCAGCACAAGCAGCCTCCTGGCACATTTGGGCTCGACTGAGGAAAATGTAGTTAAAGCAGCAGCAGAGTTTCTATTTTCCAGCTTCCAGAGGCGAGATAGAGCAATTTAAACAGCTCTCTCTCCTTTCCTTCCCCCCCCCTTTTTTTTTTTTTAAAAAAAAAAAACCCCACAGGTCCCAAATCCTCCCGCAGTTGGGTTTGGTTTGAAGTCTCTCCGAAGCACTTGTGCCTCTCAGCCCTTCCAGGTGACTCTTTCCCCACACTCTTCCCCCCCTTTCCCCTCCGTGCGCTCAAGGGGAGGAAAGTCCCGTTAATTCCAATGAAATTAACTGACACTGTTGTTTTGCTGCTCGGTAATAATTTTTCCGGGGTTGCCCCAGGGGCACCTCTGTTCCCTGCTCTGAGATTGTCACAATCTCTGGGATACAGGATTGCTGTTCAGCTTGACTTCTCATTTCTGTTGCCTGGAGCTGTGCTGCTCTCAGGAAACCGCTATCGTATAAATCGAGGCATCTCTGGGCATTGTACACACATCTATAATTTATCTATTTTTTTTTATTATTATTATTATTTAATATTTTATGTACACTCCTAAAAGCCGTCGCCGTCGTGTGTGTTTTTTTTTTCCTCACCTCCAATTATTTTTTGGAGGTGCCCCGGGGCTGAATTTCGGCTGAAGTGAGCGGGGCTGCACCGGAGAAATTTGCCCCAGAGTGGCAGTTTAGCTGCGGAGCAGCGCTGGAATTATTTTCCAGAGGAACTTGGCAGCGGGATTTCGAGGGAGGGAAAAGGATGCTCTGGTGGCTGTGGCAGTGGACAGGACCTAGAGGAGGATCCGAGCTCGGCAGCGGCGGCTCCTGCGCGTGCAAATTATCTTTATGTCTCTGTCCCCACCTGCAAAATGAGGTTCATTATCTCCTGTTTAAAATATAATCTCCTCTGAATACAGACGGGCTTTTTCGGCGTGTGCATAAAACACCCTGCGTGAGAGGGCCCTGATCTCTGCAGGGACCTCTCCTTCCACGCAGAGATTATTTATATAGGGGAGTTTTTATAAGACATTTGAAGGACTCTGGAGGATTGAGCAGCCTTTTGTGCAATACCTGATATTGCCTTTTCTGTCACGGTGCACGGTGACAGTCCCTCGGCTCTGGGCCACGTCAGCAGCCAGGCAGAGCTCCCAAGGTCTGATCTTTGGCTCCAAAAGGGACAGTCCTGGGAGGGGAAACGGGATAAAATCTCCGAGGTGTTTTTAACAACTGATGCCCCGAACCAGCCCTGGCTAACTGAGCACCCAGCCAGTGTTTATCTCCACTTTCTGAGTGCCTGGATCTCAGTGGGTGCAGCTCTTAAACGGGTGGGAAACACAGGTTTGGCTGGGTGCTCTGAGGTGCTGGGTGTTTGTATGCAAAAAAAAAAAAAAAAGAAAAGAAGCCAAAAATATGTGGGGGGCAGATCTGGTTGGTTTTGAACCGGTTTGGTATCAGATCCCAGAGTTTAACTGGCCCTGCAAACTCCATCTGATATGGCCTGGTTGGAGCCTGCGGTGCCTCGTGTGGAGCTCACAGTTAATAATTTGTGTTTGAAAACCTCTTTGCTGTTTGTGTTCCACTTTATTGTGCCTCTTGGAAATCTGTTAGTTGGGGAAAAAAACCCCGGCAGCTCAGATGAATCTTCAGCAATATTTTTGTGAGAGGAGTCGTCGCCTTCCCTTCATCGATAAAACGAAAGGGGGGGGGGAAGGATAATTATTGTGTTTTAACATCATTTCTGGGACTCTGTAGGTCTCCCATGGAGGGCTGTGAGGCTGATGCTGGAGCAGCTCTCTCTATAAAAGGTCAGGCAGCTCCCTCTGTATAAACACATTGCAAATATTTAGTTAAAGTGGGAATGCTTGTGAAGGAGCAACTGGATGTTTTTCGTTTCTCCCGTCCCGCAGTGCAGGGATCTGGTCTCTGCAGCCCAGGCTGTAAAAATCTGACAGGCTCGTCTTCTTGCAGGGAAATAGTTGGTGCAAGGGCTGAGCCAGTCACCTATCCCAAGCAGGCTCAGGAATTGTTAATTCAGGAGCCAGACAGATGTGTCTGGTCCAGGGAGATGTGTTTATCGAGCGTATGTTTAGCTTCACGTGCTTATTCTGCAAAAGATTCCATAATACATTTTTTTTCCCCCCTCTCATCCACTTAGAAGAAAAGTCACAGAGCACAGCCTTGCTCTGAAGGATTTTGTGTTTTGGCCTCAGTGCAGCGTTGCTGGTTCTGGGTCTCAGAGGGTGACTCGGCCCATCTTTGAGGAGGAGAACTATGAGACCTGCGTTTTTTGTGAGACTTAAATTTGCAAAGCAAATAAAAAAAAAAAAAATCCCAGTTTTCCCCAAGCTGGAGCAATCCCAGCAGAGGAAATCCGTGCCTGGAGGGCTTTAGGGCTGGAGTTCTGGGGTGACTGGACCTCACTTTGCCTTTCCCAGGGCTGGGACCGGCGCCTTGGGGAGGGAGAACAAGAGCAGCTTTCCCCTTAAACAGGGCTCTGGGCTTCCCTCTTTCTGCCCAGGATGTTTTGTGAGGCTTCAGCAGCTCTGCACCACTAAAGGGGTTTAACTGGGGGGTGATGGGAGTGGTGGGGAGTCAGGCAGAGCTGGAGGTCTCTTCCCCATCACCCCCCCCCCGTGACTGCCGTGGTGCCGTTCCTCTGCTCTCCTCTGCTTCCCAACACACTCCCCAGTCATGGAGACCTTCCAGGCCACTCTGCTCTTGTTCTGACACCTTCCTTTTCCCTTTAACACCTCCGTTTCCCCCCCAGCCATCCCCCCTGTGACCCAGCAGAGTCACCTCGAGGGCCGAGCGGTGCCCCCGGGGCTGGGGGGTGACTCGGTGGCCGAGCAGATGTTTGAGCCCAGTCCCCCCAGTTCCAGTCTGGTGCTGGCCCCAGCAGACCGTGCTTCCTTCTCCGTCAGGTTGGAGCTGCTCAGGCGAGGCCAGGCCGAATTCCAGCTCCTGATGGATCGCTTTCTTCCCAGAAACACAAAACACCCTCTTGGGCAGAGCACGGGTGACTGGTTCCGTGGAAACTTTCTGGGGCTGGAAGCGACTCTAAAGCCACCTGTAAATGGGTTCTGGGTAATGTTTGAGGCTGCCCCGGTGGCACAGTTAAATATTAATCCCCCTGGATTTCTTTTGTTTGGGGATTTATACCCTCTGGAAGGGCTGGGGAGCCGCAGGTGTGCTGTGCTGGGGCAGGTGAAAAACAAGGCCACTGAGCTGTGGTGACATTCCTGTCCCTGCCCGGGGGTCATTCCGTGGCCTCCATCCCAATTTTCCTTTCGCTCGTTGCCCCTCAGGTATTTATTTATTTACACCTGGGGAGATCAGACCAGGAGAGGTGTTGGCTGCACCCTTTGCTGCCTGCCAGGAACTCGCTCTGGTTTTGCTTTTATCCAGGTTTTCTGAGGGGTCGCAGTTTTATCCCTCTCCTGCCCAGGGGTCACCTCTTATTTCTTCAACCCCTTGGCCAGTTTTGGCCAAATTTAATGGAATGTGTTACAAAGGATTGAATCTCCTGTTATTTCTGTGCAATTCTGTGTTTGGCAGAGAAGAAGGAAGGAATAAGTGCCTTGGGTTGGCACAGGGACATCCCTGGGCTGGACCCCACATGTCCCAGCTCCGTCCATGCCCCATCCACAGGGGCAGGATGCTCTGCCAACCTGCTCCTACTTCCAAACACTTGGAAGTCTGTGTGTTGTGTGTGGGAGGATCTCTGTGCTAAACACCCTCAGCCATAAAAATCACAAAAATCCACGTTTTGTTTTCAAACGAAAACCAAAAAAAAAAAATAAAAAAAAATATCAAAGTCTGGCTTGGGAATTGGTGGGGTTGGAGAGAGATGATCTCAGGCTGTGTAGTCCTTGACCCGGGGCTTGCTTGCTGCCAGAGTTTTGATTAATTAATTCTTTTTCCACTCCGGAACTTTTATTTTAATTAAAATAAAAACTTCACGACCGCGAGAAGCCGCCGCGAAACTCGCCGCCGCTTTTTTTTTTTCCCTTTTAAAAAAAAAAAAAAAAAAAGAAAAAAAAAAAGGGAAAAATGGATCTTTCTGGCAAACGGTTCCTAGAGCGTGGATTAATCTGGGTATTGAAAGCAGCAGAGGTAAATGGCCAGATGTTTCATTTCCAGGCGGGTCACAGTGCAAGAGCAGGAAACTCCTTCATGTGAGAGGCCGGGCGGGTTGGCGAGCGCGGCCGACCCGCGACAGCTGCATCGATCCAGTTCGGAGCCCTTCCCGTCTCCTGGATCAATGGCCAGCCCGGGAAAAAGTCACGGAGCTCACGGGGCTGTGTCGCTGGGCCCCGCAGTGTCAAGGGGCCTGCTTTTATTAACTCTCTAATTACCCGTTAAGCCAAATCTGGCGATTTTATTGCGCCTTTTCCCCTACCTGGGCGGGGACCTTTTGCCTCCCCATTAGAGCCCCGGGGCGTCCCCTCATTTTTCTCGCCTTCCTCGGGGATCCTGAGGGTTGTTCACCGTCGCTCAGCCCGGCAGTGTGAGGGGTTGAGCATTCCAAGCTCCACAGCCCGGCCTGGAAAAAGGTTTTCCGGCAAGTTGGGCGACCTTTCCCTCGGAGTAAAACCCGAGGGTGGGGTTGGAGCGAAGCTGAGTGGTGGGAGAGGAGGCTTTAAACTGAAAGAGAGCAGGTTCAGGTTATTAGGAAGGTTTAGTATATTGGGAAGGAATTCTTCCCTGTGAGGGTGAGGAGGGGCTGGGATGGATTTCCCAGAGAAGCTGTGGCTGCCCCTGGATCCCTGGAAGTGTCCAAGGCCAGGTTGGAGGGGGCTTGGAGCAACCTGGGATGATGGAAGGTGTCCCTGCCCATGGCAGGGGTGGAAGGAGATGATCTTTAAGGTCCCTTCCAACCTGGGATTCCATGAGGGACTTTTGTAGGAAGCTCCCTGCAGTGTCTTCTCCCTGTGAGAGCCCAGAGGATGGGACAGGAGCCTCTTCCATGGAACAACATCGGCACCTTTTGGTGTCTCCTCGGCTTCCAAATCTGGTTTTATTTATTTACCTCTTTGCACATTCCTTTTAATTCCTGCTGTTCTTCCACTGCTGAGGAAGAGGAGGCTGGGGAGGGAGACAGGATGGTGCTGGGCTGCTCTGCCCAGCAGCCAGGCCTCTCCCTGGGATATTTTCCGGCGTTTCTCGGGAGCAGGAGCCGGAGCAGGGCTGTGCTGGGTGGAGATCCCAGCCCCCCGTGCCCTGTTAATGACTGCAGAGTGCTCAGACGGCTCCAGAGGTGCTCTGGGCAGTAATGGAGACCCGGGAAAGCCCCGGGAGAGGCTCGGGAGGTTGGTCAGCTCACTAATCCTGGCTCTTAACTGTCCCAGGGGAGCTGCACCTCGGGGCCTGGGGGGGCACAGATGGGGGCCAGTCCATTGGTGTAGCCTTGGAAACTCCAGTTCTGGGCGAGGGCACGTTGTGGAGTAAAAGGGACTGTTTAAGAAATCCATCCAGGGGAATTCAGCAGCTTATTATCAAGTACAGCATCTAGAAAATCAGATATTTTTATCGCTAATCTGTGCTTTGGGCATTGGAGAGGACAGAGGAGCTGCAGGCCTGCTGTCATTTATGGATGAGCTAATTCTTGCTGTGCTGAAATTAGCTGTTAAAGTGGTCCCGGCCTATCCCCAGCACGCAGGCAGAATTCCTGTTATGGAGCCAGCTGTGCAGAGAGAAAATCTGGGAGCCCAGAATTCAATTTCTCCTGCTCAGACCCCAGAGATTGGAGCGAGGTCCTGTAAACAGCCCTTCCCCACGAAGGGCAGCCTGCTGGTATTAAGTGTTTGATCTTTCCCTGGGTGCTCTGGCCTGGCAAGAGGCAAAGATTAAAAAAAAATAAAAAAAAAGAAATGGGAAGATAGATGTGGTGATGCTGAGAAAACCTTGTTAGGGAGCTGGGGGTTCAGTGCAGTCCCTGAGCCACGAGTTCCTGGTCTGGGACTGTGGGAATGGGAGGGGGAGGAGGATGGAGGCGCTGGGAAGGTGCAGCAGGAGATGGGGAGCTGAGGGTCCTGGAGCCACGTAGCCCTGGTTGATGTGGAAGGGCAGGAGGCTGGATGTGCCCCCCTGGTCCTTGGTCTCATCTTTGGGAGCATCAGCAGATCCCTCTTTCCTTGTGTTGCCTCATTATGGTTCCTCCTCTGACAATGGGAGGTTGGTGGTGCTTGGTTTGAGACACCCACGGCTTTAGATGGAAGTTAAAGAACTGTGGGATGATTTGGGTTGGGAGGGACCTCAAAGCCCACCCAGTCCCACCCCCTGCCACGGGCAGGGACACCTCCCACCAGCCCAGGTTGCTCCAAAGGAGACACCAAAATGTGCCAATATTGTTCCATGGAAGAGGCTCCTGTCCCATCCTCTGGGCTCTCACAGGGTGAGGAGCAGCGAGAAGACCTTGTAAGGAGCTTCCTACAAAAGTCCCTCATGGACTCTCAGGATGGTTTGGGTTGGAAGGGACCTTAAAGAGCATCTCATTCCAACCCTGCCATGGGCAGGGACACCTTCCACCAGCCCAGGTTGCTCCAAGCCCCGTCCAACCCGGCCTGGCAGTGGCAGAGGGTCCCTGGGGGTGGCCCAGGACCCCCAGAGCCTTGGTGGGAGAGGGGGAGGCTGAGCCAGGATCAGCCCCTCGCTGCCCACCCTCGAGTGTTTACTCTGAGCGTGTTTTAGTGCTCTTGGGGTCATTGCCACTGACCCAGGGACGAGCCTGTCCTGCCCTGGTGTCGGGACACCGACATCCGTAAAAAATGAACCACCTCCCGCTCACCTACAGGCTGCTCCTTGTCTCCCAGGCAGGATGGGAGCGAGGCAAAATGTCAGAGCGATGCCCAGGGCCAAAATCAGGGCTTGCACTCCCTAGGAAAGAAGAAAACTTTCTAAAAAAAAAAAAAAACAAAGGCAGTTCTAAAAAGCTTCCACCTTAAAAATGGGGTGGGATTTTTTAAAATGATTGGGTTTTTTTAAATAATATTTTTTAAATAATATTTTCAAAATAATATTTTTTAAATAATATTTTTAAATAATATTTTCAAAATAATATTTTTAAATACTATTTTTAAATAATATTTTCGAAATACTATTTTTAAATAATATTTTTAAATAATATTTTTAAAATAATATTTTAAACCTAATATTTTTAAAAATAATTGTTATTTTTAATTGTGGGGGGTTTTTTTTAATTGGATGTGGTTTTGCTGGAGAACAGTCTGGAAGTTGGGGAGAAATGCAATTCAGGCCTGAGCAAGGCACTTTTGTGTTGAAGCCCCAAGGCCTGCAGTGCCGTGNTAAAAAGCTTCCACCTTAAAAATGGGGTGGGATTTTTTAAAATGATTGGGTTTTTTTAAATAATATTTTTTAAATAATATCTCCAAAATAATATTTTTTAAATAATATTTTTAAATAATATTTTCGAAATAATATTTTCAAATAATATTTTAAATAATATTTTCGAAATACTATTTTCAAATAATATTTTTAAATAATATTTTTTAAATAATATTTTTAAACAAATATTTTTAAAAAGAATTGTTATTTTTAATTGTGGTGTTTTTTTTTTTAATTGGATGTGTTTTTGCTGGAGAACAGTCTGGAAGTTGGGGAGAAATGCAATTCAGGCCTGAGCAAGGCACTTTTGTGTTGAAGCCCCAAGGCCTGCAGTGCCGTGGGGGTGGGTGGGCTCCCTCCTGCCCCATGGGCATCTGCAGGATCTGCCCCTGATCCTGAATTCCCTGGGGCTCAGTTCCTCCTTCCAAGACTTTGGGAAGCCTCACCTTGGGGATAACCCCCGTCCTCAGCCTGGTTTAGCCCTTGAGTGGCTCATCCCCTCTCTCCAGCACTGCTGCCCTTTGGGACACGGGCTCTTCTGTAGGATTTATAACTCCACCACCTCCTCCAAGTGCTGGGGGACCCCATTTCCCAGAGTTTCACCCCAAGAACAAGCCCTTAATTCCTCTCCTCTTGCTCCAGCCCGTGGTGACCATTCCCCTGTGCTGAGCTCCCACGCCGTGTGTTCCCAGCCCTCCCT